TTAGTCATAGCTTGAATGTCACCGATTTTTCGCGCAGCTGTCAAGCTTATTAAATTCAAATGATGTGCCATCAAAGCAAAAACTTCTCTGCCATCTCAAAAACCTTGAAGAACGCTTATAAACTCTCAATCATCGCTGCCAAAAATTGCTCAATGAGCTAACGATAGACTCGTTATCTACCTGAATCTACTTTGAACCGCCGTCAGTAATAAACTTGTTAAATTTGTTTTATTCACCGTGGCCGCTTTGAAGGAAATTAACGAAACTGTAATTTTTTCCGCATCTGCTTATAGAGAAACACATGGTTTGTCATGCAACCGGTGTCTCTACTTTTACTGAAGTACTCATCTGCGCAAACATAGTTCTTCTGTGAGCTGAAGTATTACTCAACTACAAAACGTTGTGTGACATCGTAATTCAATAGTCGTGGTTCATCTGCTCATTTACAGCATGGTATACCACTTTTATTTTCTGCGCATTCTACTTTTTCGATAAATACAACAGGAGCTTTATGTGTGAAGAAGGATTTAGCAAGCAATACTATTAGTGAACGTTTGCTAAAAAAATGAAGCATCGTATTAGAATTTACAGACATAAGAGTGAATGTACGTACGACAGAAATTGCGGGAGCGAACATGATGGGTCTTTGAGCAGCATATATAAAGCCGTTCCAGACTACACAATGCCTCTATTATTAATGCTCAGCAGGCGGCTTTTGAACCTGATCAATTTGGTCTTTGAAATCTCTTCTGCTGAGCTTCAAAATTTGTTCGAAGTAACAATGGGAAATGAATTATTAAAAGTAGTCAGCATCGAATTATTTTCAAGCAGAAACAGTACCAAAGATGAGGCTGTCTTTCACGATCTTGCATGCCTACGTTATTACCCAAATGAAGTTTGGTTTCATTGGTCGCATGAACCCAATACACAGTTTCCAACATAAATCACTTCTTTAGATGCGCTGTTTAGTGCAGTAACCGGTTGAAGTTTAAGGCAGAGTTTCATAAGCAGGAAATGGCATACGCAGGTCATGTTCGAATGCAGCAGACCTTAACCTCTTACTCCTTTGACAAAATTAATAAGAGCATTTCTTTGCCCAGAGCTGGGGGCATGAGACCGACCCCTTGAGTCTTCACACCTTGATGATTTTATACTCGTTTAAACAAGCTCAATCCGTTTCTATCACTTAAAAACAATTTCGCGGGTTGGGCGAGCTGATGTAGTTGGGTGCTTCCTTGTTTTCTTTGTTGCTAGTTGTTCTGTTTGATGCTCTCGTTTATGTTGAATGTGCACGCCTTGCGCATCAAATAAATAACACCACATAGATGAACTATTATGTTAGGTTCTCTCAAAAGTAAACTCCTTTTTGAGTAACTCAAGCTATTTTTGTCTTCCTTACAGAATTAGGGTACCATTCGATACAGCAGATCAAGCTCTACAACGAAGCCTAGGTCGCATTCCATGTAAAGTTTCAAGCCAAAATCGAGAAAAAAAAACCTAATACACCTGATAGTTAACTTTTGCGGAAAAAATTCCTACGGATTTCCAACTTAGTCGTTATAAAGTAAACACATATTACTAGTGCTCAAATATGCCTTTTCCGGATTTTTTCGCGTATAAAAAACGAGAAAAAAGGTAAAAAAGAGAAAACTCCGCCTCCGGTCCCTCCCACATATGTCATTGTATACAACAAGCCTAGCTAAATGTAGTCTCAAAAACTTTTCTCTGTACGTTCTCCTACATCGAGAAATACCTAGTTTTACATTAAAAACCCGAAAAGATTAGCATTTTGGCATTTTCAGACCATCTGAATCCATAAAAAAAAACAGTCAAATACCTTTTTGGGTACCACTATGCGTTTACGACTGTTGGAAGTCCGTGGGAATGGTTTGAAAGGAGATCCGATGTTTAGGGTAAGGTAGCTGAATCTGATTTTTGCTCTAAATTTTACCTGGTTTACGACTTAGGTGGATCTTTGGTGGTCTTTTTGTAGAGCACGTTTCGCTCTACCGAACGGGTTGCCTAAGTCTGTCAGGAGAACAAAAACAGCCCAATTTATAAACTGGAGATTACTTTTTTGACGACCTATCAATTTAAACGACCTAGATAAATACTGCGGATTGGAGCCGCAGTTGTTACACGTCTCAACCATTGAAGATTCAGACAAACGGATCACTGGAATTTGAGATTCAAAATTTCTGCAGTTTTGTGATCTCAAAGTTCAAGCTTGGCTTGGATAATCAACCCTACAAAACTGTGATATGGATTCAAGAATGTTGATCCTGTGAAGCGCCCATAAAAGAAATGTATTATAGATGATTAACTATGGAAAATCCGCTGAGGAGTCGAAAACTACAAGAGACGATTGACAATCACAATATCACATTACTTTCCGCCATTAGAGTTCCAATGCGGCCACTTTAATTAATGAGGAGTTTCAACATACAAAACTAATTTTCCTATACGTTTGCGTCTAATTAAAATAGTTAATAGCTAACATACCCCTCTTCGCGTCTGTCAGTTGATCAAGAGTGCCATTACCTAATTTCTCCGTCCCATAGCTTCTGTCTCATGACAGAATCTGTGCTGGAGTTGACCCAGTCGAAAATGGTCGTTAGCCTCACATGGTATCGAAAGAGTAGAATTGTGATGGACTTTGCTGATCGGGAAAAAAAGCGCGCACAGAGAATCCCGGCTTTTTTTTGCACGCTTTTGCTAAAGAGCGACCAACATCCCACTTAATTGCTTCATTTGCTTTGTTCCAGTTTAATCGCATTCTATAACTATAATGATAATTTCGGTGCATCTTCCTGGAGGGATAGGAGCTTCCCCGCGAAATTTGCACCCACTGCTTAGATCGTAATGAAATAGAAGCTTGCTTATAGTTATATTGAACTTGACAGCCCGCTTACTATTTATTTACTCGCTTTCACTGATTGTTCTTTATTTTGGGCAAATTGGGTTTATAGACGACTATCTCGTCTAAATAATATCTTTATTTTTTATTTATCTGCTTTTTTATGTCTGGATGGAAAGTTGGAGTAGTTGCATTGTTGTCGTACATCTATGTAGCTGGCATTCCTAACTGATCTGCCTAACCCTAGTCTTTGTATAATAGCTTTGACACGAAAAAATGTTTTCAATACAGGCATACGCTTTTTTGTAGTCGACAAATGCTAGGAGAGGAAAAAGGTGCTCCCAACAAACTTTTACGCCCTTGAAGGCAGTGTCTCACCAAAGTTGAGGTCGCGCGGATCTCCACATATTCTATCATAGGGACCTCTAAATAGGCCATTGCAACAAGTCCCACTAATCTGACCCCCTCCACGCTGACAAAAATTCGCTCAAAATGGTACGCGGAGAGCGACTTGGTACTCGCGGACGACTCCTTCGGTCTCCCCCTATACGCGTTTGAACATGTCCCTCCACTTGGCATCCACCTCCCCTCTGTTGTTGCCACTGTGGCTGAGGCTGAAGTTGGAAGGTACAACTCGTCCACGTTGCTTCCGCGAGGCCTCCAGAAAACGGGATTTTTGGGAACTTCGTGCGATTTTAGGCCCATACAGTGCTATACAGGGTCCGACAGGCTTGCAAAATTCAAAGATCTCGACAACTAAATTTTGGTGAGGCACTGCTTTTAAGCTGCATGGATATGACTGTTAGCGGCAACTCCTTGCGAGATCTAGTTCGTTGTGAAAGCGTATCCATTCAGACCTTGAACAATTAAAAGGTAGTCCTTGTAAATTGCTTCAAGAGCTGCATGAATAACAACTCCGGTCATTCCATTTCAAAAGAGGGCGTTTTGAAAATCCCGAACTGGTTGTACCAGTTCCTTACAAAGTCAAGTGCACATATAACTTGCATAAAAATGCCTTCTCGTTGGAGCTCTGGTTGTAGCATCGGAAATGGGGTGCATTTCAGCAAAAGGAATCCATGAAAGAGATTGCTTGGATTTGGAATTGATTTCTATTTCGTGTGTAAGGTATGTCTTCGTTCATCAGCGAAATATTTTCACGCACCTTGCTAGCAAGCTCTTAAAATTTGTTCTCTCACTTTTCCGCGATGGCCCGATGTCAGTTTGGTAGAAGCACTGATCGGTATTTGTCATAAAAATTATCCATTACCTGCAGAGCGAGCACTGCAGAGAATCCAAAGCGAGTTTTTGATCCTTGTTGTAAAACTTTCAAGACTTTCTATGCTCCTTTCCAATGCGATAAAAACTTCTCTTCAAATATCTAATGTAAGCTTCAGAAACAAGATGTCGAATCTAACTACTGTAGGGCAATGGAACTGCTGACACAAATCAAGCTGTTTTTGCTTGAGAGATTTGTCATGCGATTTGCATGTCCAAACGCTGGCTTTCATTCATAAAAATAGAGTTTTGGAAATGCTTTGAAATAGCTCATGGAGTGGCTGATGTTTCCACATTGGATCTTACATCCTAATTCTCCTAGTTTAGGTTTCTTGTTAGGATGCCGTTTTCGTTATAAGCAAAGTCGCTCACAACAACTAGCATATGATACAGTCTAAACCTCTTTAAATTACCCAGCTTTTGGAATGCTGTAAACGCTCTATTGTCATTTGTAAGACCTTCCATTCTTTGGAGCATCGTAATAAGCAAATACCACCCTCGTCTTCTTCAACAGGAATCAGACGTAGCGCAATTAGAAACCCATCTACTTCAAATCGCTTTCTTTTTCCTCTAGCATCTACATCTTCCAACGTGAATGTTCCTGATTGAAGAGAAGAATTTGCCTTCTGTTTCATGCGGCTGATAGATATAGTGGCTGATGCATGATAATCATTTTATTCGCACATTTCAGCATGTATATATTTGATAAAAATCTTAAGTATTCTTGATTAAAGAATAGGAATGGTGCGGTATTGAGAAGGCCACAGCAGTCCTAATGTAGCTTAAGTAGCAAAACATCTCACTTTTTCCAGCCATCTGAATAGAGTTAAGGACGGGTCTAACTTCCAGAATTTTACAAAAATCAAGCTTACATGTAAGAGCCACCCAGTTCAGCATGCCATGAAGCTTTGAAGCAGGTGACAAGAGCTCTGACGTTCTTACCAATTATTGGATAATTAGTTTCCTCATTCATCTGAAATTCTAACGTCAATGATTAGATGCGGTAAAAAGTGGTGTAAGCGCACTTACCACCATGTTCGATTTAGTGTATCCAGCAGGAGTGTTGCATATTACATACATTCGTCGGCATCCGCGGCTATCATTCGTTAACACCCTGATGAAATTAAATCTTGTTTTCTAGTAAGTTGTAGGTCAAAAAGTTGACAGAAACATTCTTGAAATTTTACTAATGATGAATTTTCTGTCACTAAATTGTGCAAATTCAATCTACAAGATTAAAGACTTTAATTTAGCAATATCAATAAAAGTTACCTGAGCACTGGTGTTATCGTACCCGTCCCATTAGCTGGTACAAGAGTCACAGTGCGTGGAAGGCATCTTCCGCAGACTAAAGAAGATATTCAATTATATCTCAGGCTTGGAAGTTTGGTCAAATGGACCCAAAACAATACTTACGTGGCGTGCTCTTAGTTGTAGCTGCCTGCAATTAACACACGTCAATTGATATACGATAAATGTACCTAATTGATATTTTTGGAAACTAATTAAGGGAACTTATAACAGTACCTGATTAGCTACGACAGCAGCAGTCAATATGAGTATAGTGAAAAGCATCGCCTGAATATAGAATTTCTAAAAGTAGGTGCAGATATATATTCTAGACAGATTGTAAAGCGAACACTAGGTTGGAACGTCATTATAAAACGAACCTCGTGAAAAGTAACATTTGTTAACAACTCCCATGCAGCATTAACATTTATGAACAACAAGGGTTTAGTATAATTTTTTGTGAGTTCCGTCAACATGGAAGTAACCTACAGACCTTTACTATGGGGTTTAACATTGATCTATCCCGATACGCTGCCGAAACCGATGACGTGCGATTGTGTCAGGCTGCTGCATAAGTTTTGTCCAATTTGAATTTTCGGATTCACAATATCATAACTTTTTTCAAAATCAACTTTCTTCCATAATCTTAGTTTCCGTGCGTTGAAACGTTCTAACTTTTCAATGAAATACCAGCTCTTGCGAAAAACCCTATTAGGAGAGGCAGAACTGAAAAACTACAGCGTCTTTAGGCCCTTCTTTTTTGACATGGAAAAGTTCCATCATGAAGACAGGCACATTGAATGGCCTTGAATAAATAGAAGAATTCAAAGATTATCCTACAGTCTGAAAGTGCCCCCCTTTGGTGCGGAGAAATTTTTTTGACCGAATAAAAACGACGTTTTTCAACTTGTTTCAGTACATATAGTATGAGTGAGTGACAGTGTATGACAACTTTCAAGTTATGAAAATCTAACACTTGCCGCGAAAGGTGAAAAGTAATTGGTGGCTCGGCTTTGCTAGCTCTTGCTTTACTCTAGCACTTTCTATATTAGACTCATCGATTGTCTACATTCATGGAAAGTTATTGCTTTTAGAGCTTTCAAATAAACAACTATTCTTCAACAAATTCTACCAGCAAGTATTTTTTTACATGAAAGTGAGATTGTGCATATACTGGGCTCTTTACCCTTATTCCGTGTTTTACTGTGTTTTTTAAACGCATTCGTATCATTAGGTCGTTCCAAAAGTAATCTCGTTTTTTTTCAAATGAACCCTACATTTAATGGAACTTCGATTTTTGGGAGATCTTGGTGGCGTTCGATGCAGAATTTTATCCTATTTCTAATGCTTTTAAAATCATTGCAGCACAATCACTAGGCTCTCGAAAAGTTATTACAACCTGCGACCCATGCTTTTTGAGATGGTCAGTCACAATTTTTTTGAATCTTTATTTCGCACCTCCGAAGGAGTCTAAATAACGGATGTATAAGGCAAAACCTGCGCGAAACAGTGCAATTTTTTGTTCCTTTCATAGCACGCCATAATAAAAATTTTGTTAACTAAAACCGCTGGGTTTTGGCAGGCTTACGTCAGACACAAACGCATCAAACACCAATGAACCTTCGGAACTTAACTAAACTTGAACTTTCAAAAGGGTTTTGTGATCCAATATTAATTTTATAAAGCAAATAGAAGTCTATAAATTCGAAATATCAATTTTTGGATTTTTCGGGTACTCCGGTCGCGTTCGAAAACGAGAATTACGATGATTTTGCCCGAAGACTCCATACGGGAAGCAAAAACCAGCCGTTAGAAAAAGAAGAAAAAGCTGCATCGAGCTGCTCGCCGTTTGGTGTTCTATGTTGTTTGAGTTGACCAAGTAAAAATTTGGTAACACCAATTAAAATTCCATCGAAAAATATTGGGAATTATGAGAAGGAGGAAAACATTGTTTTGTAACCAGTGAATCTGTAGGTTTTGCTCTATCTATACATTACCTAGGGCCGCATGCACCACAACCATTAAATAGACGATGAGGTGCTGCATCAAATGCTACTAAAATCTCTCAAAAATTTCCGCTCCTTCAAGTGTGGCGCCCAATTAAAGCGATATTACTTCCGAAACGATCTAATATATAGAGTTTAATGTGAGCTACTTCAGCCACTTATGCTTATGTAATCGCATGTCAGCAGGGTCAAGCATAGGATGGGCACTTGACACCTGGGGAGAGGGGTTGTACTGAGGGGGTGAGAGTGGGAATGGAGCGGTGATTGAGGTGATAGCGATGTTAGCAATAGCACGATATTCGTTAGCACTACTGGTTAAGCCCATATTCAAAAGACAAGCACACCAAGGTATTGAGTAGCGTCGTACAGTAAGCATGATAAAGATGCCCCCAAGTGTAGCAAGTAACATCCGTAATTAGCATGTTAGTTAAACCTTGTAAAAGTTCTAGCGGATTTTGAGCTTTGCAAATAATGGGGCATTCAAGTGAAATGTTCATTTTTGAACACGATGAGTTTTCTTCAAAGGTGGGCTAGCTATTTTAGCTTTTTTTGCACCCAACACAAAGCATTTTTTCGTCTTTACACACTTGATAAGCACCATTCCAAATAACCGCCAAACTATGGAAACGAGAGTCAAAATCTTGTTTGTCCCAAATTCGCCTTTAATTACTCAGACGACGGAAGGCGAATAAAGCTTAAATCGCTTTTGTTGAAGTTACGAGGCTGGGCGGCTAGAATTTAGATATTTACGGCGCTTTCCCTCGCGATTCACGTTGTAGAGCAGACTTAGGCCCGTATGCGAGTACATCTCCGCGGGGAGGGGGGGGGGGGGGAATCTGAGAGGGGAAGCGCCATATCTTACTGCTCTAGATATCTTTCTTCTTTCCTCTCTATCGTGCTTATGAGTGTTCTCATACCCTTATACCTGCGCATAATAGATGCCAGATTACTGCTATACAAGATTAAAAATTCACTATTTCTTCCGATCCCCTGGGGATCCCCAGGAGATCAATTCACATTTTCAAAGTTATTTATCCTTCTGAAAACTCGATGAAAATGTTCTAAAATTGCACTGTGGATATACCACAGCACTGCTGAGCATGTTTTCGATAGAAGATTGAATCTGAAGATTTTGATTTTTTCGATAATCCCTGGCTCGCGAGCAGCGGTTCATCGAAGGTTTTGATATCTTGAGATTTCACTCATTTCTACCATAATTATGTTAAACAGTGCTGTAGTATGGCCACAGTACAATTTTAGAACATTTTCATCGAGCTTTCAGAAAGATAAATAACTTTGAAAATGTGAGGTGATCTCCTAAGAATCCCCAGGGCATCAGACGAGATAGTGAATATCTAATCTTGTATGGCAGTAACCTGGCATCCGTTATGCGCAAGTATCAGTGTATGAGAACCTTCAAAACCAAGACAGAGAAAGAAGAAGAAAGATACGTAGACCAGCGAGATATGACGCTTCCCTTCTCAGATCCCCTGCCCTCCCCGCGGGGATGTACGTGCATACGGGCCTTAGCATTTTACCGTAGTAAAATACTTTCATAGTACTTTTTGCATAGGTGTAGAAATGACTATATCTTCTTTCATGAAAAACGATTTCGAACGAAATTTCTGCTGCGTCGAGAAAAAGGTTTAGTAGTGGCAAAGATTCAAAAAAAAAACCTAAATATATATATGAATGCACGTTAGGTGTTATCCAATTCCAAGGTGTGGCACCCACACCTTTTTAAGGTTGTGCAACACCATTATGAAGGGTAAAGGATTCGGCTCATCAGTACCCCTCGCGGTTATTCCCCAAACGCAACCTATTTTCTGATCGAAAAGGCTATTCAATGCGTGCGAGCCTTTTACAGTGACTTGCGGGAGGCAGTCAATTACTAAGTCATTTTTTTATCCTCTCAATTTACATGAATTATCGGCTTTGTAGTGCAAAAGAGGTAGCCCTCATGCTATGCTTACGGTAGGTAGGTGATAATGCTGCGGTGCGGGGGGGGGGGGGGAGGGGAGGGAGGAGAGGGGGTAATGAGGCATCAACGGGATGGGGATCGTACCGGCGGTCGTTGTATCACACCTCTTGCGCGACCCTGCACGTAAGGGTTATGTTATGCTTACGGTAAAATTGAAAGGACTTTGAATTGCCGCTAATCCTGTTGGAACTTTTCAGAAAATTTGTTCGTCTTGCGGAAAATAAAATGATACGAATTTCCCATGAAAGTGCTTCTCAAGATACGATTCTTATCTCAGCAACAATGGAATATGGTCGTGTAGCTTTCCGAATCAACATTCCGAGGTTCCGCTCTTTAGGTATTGACAGATGTCCTTGAGCCAAACAGACAATTATCATTCAACGATGACTCCAGATCATTTATCTCTAATTTTGTCGGCTCTCTAAGTATTCAGGACGTTGTTGAGGAGACAGACAGCTATCATCAACGATGGCGTTAGACCATTTGTCTCTAACATTTAGTTTTTTATGTTGTCCAAGTAGTAAACTCATACCAGCTCCTTTGCGCCCAATAACTTCTAGCCCTTCATTTGTCTTTCTCCTTAAACTGATTATATCACAACATGCTATGTGAAGTGTTTATACTATTTACGGCGCACATACAAAGATGACAAAAAATTAACATTTAACTCTGAACAACAAGTTGTATATGACCACGAAGAGAAGAAGTTTGGCTTCCATCCGGCAAGGTTTTGACCTAGAAGTAATAAAATTTCAAAGGGCTTGAGCAGTTTTTTAGGTTACCAGCAAACATTTCGCATGTAAACTCACAATTGGCTTCTGATCAGGTGACGAGTACAAACCGGCGTCAGTTGCTTTGAAAGATTCGATGATAAGGGTGCCATCCTTTTCCACACGAGCGGTTGTTGCGGGAGGGACTGGTTTGTTGTCCTAAACAATTAGAGTACGTTTTAAAAGCAGAAGTGAAGTTTGTAAGAGAAATAATTTTGGTGGCGAAAATAAGAAGAGTAATATCATAAATCTTACCGCATTCACGAATTGTGCGCATCTTGGGCCTTTCTCAGTGGGTCCGCAATATTTTATAAATTCTTCTACGTCTCCCTCCCTCACACGCTTCCAGGTCACAACATCGGAACCCAGTTCGAGTTTGACAGTTTTTCCAATCTGCGTTTTTAACAATATAGTCGATGCCAAATTCGCAGACTAGAACTCACCTCAGCTTGTTGAATCATAACGGAACCGTGGATGGAAGAGATAGTTACGAGAAAGATAACAGCTTTTGTCCACATGCCCTAAAATGACGATCTATGATTTGTTCACGGAGTTACGAGCTTCTGCATCATAAATAAGGACAGGAGTAAAGATAAGATCAAACAGTCACACGCAACAAAAAACAGAATTAATTTCCAATGTCGAATGCTATTCTGTAAAACTATGTCTGTAAAACTTTTCCAACTGTGCACGCATACCTTATTTACTTATTAGTTTATTTATTGCACAAATAATGCAAAAAAATCTAGGCAATAGTCAAAATGAAGTAAAGAACTCAGATAAATAAAAACAAAAATAAAAACAACTCATATGAATCCTATTCTCACCTAGAGGTGCGCAGAAACAATTTCACTATATTTTCATTTGCTGCTATTCTTGTCTATTTGACCATATGAACTAGACCTTCCTATTCAGCTACAAATATAAAGTTAATTTACGGCCTGACAAAATGCGGTAATCCGAGTTTGAAGGTTTCATAAAGTCTTTCACAGGAGCAGAAGCGTAGAGTAGGAATTGGTGCATGATTCTACTAGAAATTGCTCGAATTTGCTCAAGACCACACTGCCTGCGCGTCTATAATCAAATCTTAACTTGTCAAGCATTTTGTAAGATGCGAAATTGAAAACCTACAAGATTTTACAGTTATTTGTAGCTTCAAAAAATGCAAGAAATTTCGTATATGGATTTTTGGGAAAAAAGTAACAGTAATTCATTGATTCTTTGTAAAACTTTTTTTATTTACTTTCAACCAAAAGGCACTCAAAGCTACTCAAGCACTTTGTCCTAATTATTGCAGCCTGCTCTTTTTTGTCTTATAAAAACACTCTTCCGGAGAACGATCACGATCACACTTGAGAAAAATCATAGGAAAGACATTAATTTGAGAGCGCTGTCAAAAAATGAGTCAGTTGAGGCAAGTCGAAAGTTTATATAGTGATTGCGGAAATAACGAGAACAAAAAGTGGACGATACGGACGATTGCGTGCATTTGTAACCTTCGACAAAAGTTCTCATCGATCATTGCTGCTAAGAAAACATGACCGGGACGCGTTTTGTTTCGCAAAACTTTTGGTTGGCAAAACAAAGAAAGAGTTTTTTGTAATCGATAGTGTGAGAGCTGCTGCGCATTATGCATTTATTTTGTTGATGATATATTTTTATTCCTATAATGTGCGATATTGTATTATTAACGAAGTTTATGCAGACGTTAATGTGGAAAATCCGACGAAAGCGGGAAAACATTAACAAAACTGGCTTATGAGCCATTTACTTGCATAATAGGTGACAGTACATACACAGCGCAGGAGATTAGCACAAATTATGTACAAGTAGGTTTTGGAGACTTTCACAAAAATCATGAAAATAGCTTTTTAAATTTTTTGAATCTCAATGTCAATGATTCTCATTGCCCCACATTTTTGAAGGCTTTTGTAGATATATCGTGCAGTCTGCCGAAAGAAAAAATTACAATTATTCAGCGTTGGTGACCATTGAAGGCCTGATTGACTATGGTCCACCTCTTGTTTGTTGAGCTGCTACCGCGCCTTAAAACAAAAAAACGCATAGTTTGTGTTCCGAATTAACGGCTTTGGGCAAACACTTCAAAAATCCATATTAGATGGACTAAACGACTGCATTTCAAGTTTCAAAATAGAATAATAACTAGAGTTTTTATACTAAAGCCTCATAATCAAATTTGATTACAGAAGAGTTCAAGTGATTTTGAAGTGGCCATGTAGTTTGCACAAAAGAATTAGAAAATAGAATAGAGTTAGGAAAATGGGGTTCGTCGTTATTATTTGGAATTCCCAGCAGCTCTGAAGCGTTGAGAGCATTGAGAGCAAAGCAAAAGAAATTGAATAGTAGATAGTAGTTTTAGGGTATGTCAATACAAACTGTTACACTTGGTACATAATCATTCTAAGCCAGTATTTGTCATGAAATCTATAAAGATTTTGTTCTCACCATGATGGTTACTACACTTTCCGTAAACAGCATGTAAATGTTTATAAATCGTATCATCTTACCAAGTGCACCAATGGGATCAATGGTGAATTATAAGGGGCAATTGAGCCTTCTACAGTGGTATGTAATAAAGCCTAAAGATTTCCAAAGCTTGAGCAAAATAGATGTATTCGAAGCGGAAATTTTGATTTTACACTCATTAAGCTCCAACTTTGTTTTTTTACAAATCAATCTTCAGGTCATATACCATCCACAGCAAAATATTGAAAAATTGAGATTGCGTAAGAAGTAGATGGTTCCCAAAAGGATGATATAATTGGAGGTCTTATCTAATTAGCATCGCCTATGAACCGCCTTGAATACCTTATATGTGATTCCCATAGGTGAGAATATTTGCATCGATATCAAAACTTTGAGTAACTTGAGTTGCGAGATTGATATTTCGGCAATAATTGCCATCACTGCCATCCTCGTGCGCATTTCTAGCGAAAAATTACCTTGCCAAGGAAGGTGATTTTTTAGTCTGATTCTTATCCTTTCCATGATTTTTTTAATTTCTGAAGATGATGAGTCTAAATATAGGCTTCACAGCTTCTATAATTCTCAAAAAACTGTTTTAACTCAGAAGGAAGTAAGTGGGTGAAAATGGAGAGATTGACTTCCAAGGCCCGTAGATACAATACCGCTGGTATTTTTCGAAAAAGTGACCCGAACAGCGTGGACATACTCGCTTCAGAGTGGACGGATTCTTAATCCAAAAACACCATTCGACTCAGCTCGGTGCGGCGCAGAAGTGCCCGCTTGGACACAGTAGGAGGTCAGCTCTTAGAAATTATTTCAGATTTTTGCTAACGGTAGATTACTCATAAGCAAAAACTTGAACAATTCGTAGAATCTGGCCTCCTACTGTGTCCAAACAGGTACTTCCATATATAAGAGAATGCAGAGCTGAGTCGAATGATTTCGTTGGATAAAGATTTCGTCCACTCTAACGCGAGATATGGCCATGCTGCGGTGATGCCACATGGCTCGCGCGACTTCGCGTAATTTTTCAAAAAATATGAACGGTACTGTAAAGGCGGAACAACTAGGGTGGTAATTTGCTGGTCCTCTTATGGAGGCAATTCGAAAGCAGTCTTTCCAAATTTTTTTTGATTTTTCTTGCTGAAAGCTGGATCTGTTCCTATTTTTGAACAAGTCCATTAACGTTCTTTCACGAGCAGCCTAATGCTATTTATTACCGCCACAATTTTGTTTGCGTCATAATCTCTAAGAATGGGGTGTTTCCCCTCTGAAGGAAGAAATTCAGTGTTATCGAGCTTATTGAACACCATCTCGATTTCTTTGAGATTGCTGCTTTGTTTACAACATTTCAAACATTTTTGCTTCTGCATTCTGTGTGTTGAGGGTACTGTGAAATAATAAAAGATCGCGTCGTGGACTGAGACACCCGAATGCCACCTCCGCATAACCACTAACAAAGAGAAGATTGGTGAGGAGTTAGACAAATAATCACGTCACCAAGACGTTCAATAAAGTGTTCAAAGGTGTAATAGAGCACAGTCCGATTTGCTAGTAGACTCGTCATGTTTTTCTTGTTTGACTCATCGTCTAAAACTCACTGTCTGGGTTGGCCTAAACATCAATGCAAACCTTTGTGTTGATTTTGAATGGAACCAATAATGCAGATGGGACAGTTCTCAAACAAATAATCTCTGAATGACAAACTTGTACAGCATTTGGTCGTTAGAAAGTCACAAGATCTCTCAGCGAATATTCGCCTATATACGAAAAACCGTCTTTTTCTTATCATTCTTTTTGTCGTCTTCAAGTAGGCGATTGCTTAACACGTTTCGGACCGGTGCTGCACATGGTGCAGCACGCTGCTCTAAAGGATCTCTTTGACGTTTACAGAAAGTTTTCTTTTAGTCCAAGGCTATCATGTCAAAGACCTAAGCTTCTACTTCTCAAATGACTCTGTAGAGTTGTGCCGCCTATATTTGTTTAGGAGATATGAGCCCAAATCGAACAACAGTTGCAACGAAGTGCGGCGACGCGAACGACGCGTGCGACGTCGCAATTATTCCTTGCTTCGATATCAAAAAGAAAAACCGAAGTTTCAATACTGATGTGTACCGTTTACAACATAGCTACTTTTGGATACTATTAGAAACTGAGTTCTTGTTCCTATCTTTCAGAAAAGCACAGAAGTTCTTTTCAAGCGGCAAAATTTAAACACTTCCAATTCATTCAGAACTTTGAGTATGGAACTTATCTGACAAGCTGATTACAGATGTAGCACATAGTCTCCGAAATAATGTCCCTTTGTTGGCTAATGGCTGAAAGTGCACTCTTTTTCGCCGCGCGCGATTTCGCGGTCCGAAACGTGTTAAATGGATGCCATATCTCTTACCATGTCTTTTATTGATGTCGGTCTTGACATTCCGCACGTAATTCCTCCAACCACCCCAAGATATCAAGGACCTTAGACAAGCACGCCCGCGCATGAAAACAAAAAAAATGGAAAGAAATTCAGAGCTTAAAAGACAGCGCATTCACAGTTGATTTGTTACACGGCCCAGAAGAGCGTCAAATACGAAGAAAAAACATATTGAACTCAGAAATTTGTCGAATTTGCTTGACCTCCTCGTGTTCTGCCCCCCCCCCTCTCCCCCCTTGCCGATGGCATTTCGCTTCACAGTCGAGAAGCATTTACGAGTGTTATTTGATTATTATGGTCTGCACGAAGACTTTACGAAGGCTTCTGAATTTGTCATCTAGATAATGAGAAGGTGAGAAGGAATGGGATGCAATAAAATGAGATTCTGAAAAGGAACGTCAGAATATAAGCCGTGCGCGGTGGGCTCGAAGAGCAGTGCTGTTGCGTTCATTACAGATAATTCATGAAAAGAGGCGCAGAGAAAACAAGCGCCGAGAGTGCACGAGGAAAGAGGAGTGACGCGCAGTGCACACCCTGCGCACTCGCGCCTTGCGCGGACGGCATAGGCCTTTTAGAGTTTTCTTAAATCTATGGACTCAAGGCAGTTTCACA